GCCTGCCTGGGTGCTGGAACAAGGAGGGGTGGGGGAGCGCCTCACTCGGTCTTCCCTCTTTCGCTTCCCTCCATTCCCAGCCGATCTCCTCGTAGAAAGCCGAAACCATGGTACTAGGAGGCCCTTACTCACTCTGGGGCTCCAAGCCGCTCGGGCTGCCAGTCGTGCCTCAAACATGCTCTGCATACACTTGCCCCCCCCACCCCCACCCCCCCGTCGGTGGATGGGTGATACTTACCAACTAGTGTCTTGCTCCGCTGTGCTTCATGTGCCTCAGGCCTTTTTCCCAGATACTGACAAAAAGTCCCTCCATGTATCTGGGGAGGACAGGCAGCCTTCCCGTCTTCCGGTCTCGATTGGGCAAGGTTGTATCCCCGCGAAAGTCCCCAAGCTGTTATAAATGGGAACACACTCCCGGAGCTAAAGTGATTTCAGCATTTATTATAAGGCCTAAAGCTTGGAGGGCCCATGGGTCGAGAAGGAGAGTTCCTGACAAATGAGGATGCTGCAGAGACAGTGCTGGCTGGATCTTCTTCCTTTCTTGAGCAGGGATGTTCCCGATGTTCCAGGTGGAGCGACACAGATTCACTGGGTCGGACGTCCCCTTTTTATACTGTTTTTTGTTTCTTTGGAGTGGTTTCTGTTGGCATCCTTCATTTGCATGAAAGTTAAGGTGCTTGATTGGCCCTTACAGTTCTTTCCAGGCTGGCTCCGTTTTTTGCCTTGGGGGGAGGGTGGGGGGGTGTGCACTTTACTTAGGTGTAATACGGTACGTTGCATACCGTATTTCTTGTAACTACCCTTTTAACCCCTTTTACAATATAATAAACAAAATTTTTAACAGTACATGCTTAGCAATTATTAACTATTTTACAACAGTTTCTAATCTATTTTTGACAGAATGATTTGGGTTGGAAGGGACATCTTTGAAGATCATTTAGTCCAACCTCCCTGACAAGGGCAAGGACATCTTTCACCAAGACAGGTTGCTCAAAGCCCTATCCAAACTGACCTTGAACACTTCCCAGTGATGGGGCATCCACAGATTTTGTGGGCAACCTTTTCTAGTGCCTCACCACCCTCACAGTAAAGAATTTCTTCCTAATATCTAATCTAAACTGCCCTCTTACAGTTTAAAGCCATTGCTCATCTTTATATCACTAAAGGCCCTGGTAAAAAGTCTGTCTTTATTATAAATCGCCTTTAAGTATTGAAAAGACACAATAAGGTCTCCCGAGAGACAGCTCGAGACTAAAGAATTCCAGCTCTCTCTTGTCACAGACATCTTTTGTGAAAAATCCTTTCTTTAGGATTTTTCCCCCTTCTGAGAAGCTGTGGACTCAGCAACAAAATGTAAACAATGGTTATCTGCTGCTGTGGAATGCAACAGGTGGATCCGTCATTGGTCTCGGGTGGATGTTTGGATTTACTGACCACTCACGGCAGAGCTGTTCTTGCTTTCTGCCTGGACACAGACCTTTGTTATTGATTCCTTTTCTATTCTTAGCTTAGCTAGCTTCTGAGAACTTTTCCTTCTATTCTTTGTAGTATAGTCATAATGTAATATATATATCATAAACTAATAAATCAAGCCTTCTGAACATGAGGTCAACATTCTCGCCTCTCTCTTCATCCTGAAAACCCTTGCAAGCCCTGTAACACTCTCTGCCTTTCTTCGTAGGAGAGGTGTTCCAGTCCTCTGACCATTTTAATGATCATGCTCTGGACCTGCTCTAATAGGTCCACATCTTTCTTGCATTGGGGGCCCCAGAGGTGCACACAGTACTCCAGGTGGAGTCGCATCAGAGAAGAGTAGAGGGGCAGAATCACCTCTTTTGACCTGCTAGCCACACTTTTTTGATTCATCCAGGATACATTGGCTTTCTGGGCTGCAAGCTCACATTGCCAGCTCATGTTCAATTTTTCATCTACCAGTACCCCCAATGCTTCTCTGCAGGGATGCTTTCAATCCATTCATCCCACAGTCTGTATTGATACTGGGGATTGCCCTGACTCAGGTGCAGGCCTTGTTGAACTTCATAAAAATCACATGGACCCACTCCTTGAGCCTGTCAAGGTTCCTCTGCATGGCATCCTTTCCCTCAAGTGAATCAACTACACTGCTCAGCTTGGTATCAGCTGCAAACTTGCGGCAAGTGCACTCAATCCTGTTGCCCGATTTATAAATGACACAAAACTCGGATAAGTTTTGTGGGTGCTTTATTACGGGCCCGGGGTGCTGGGGGACTCACGTCCCAAAAACCCAAGCCCCCGATTTCACATATGGGTGCTTCCCTCTTATACATGCAATTCACAACAAAGTCTCCAAGAAACAGTTCCCTTGTGATACATTCCTTAGTTCACAGGCAAGATCATAAATCTTCTGCTTATCTTATTCTAAGAGCATTGTATGCTGCCTTCAGACAGGTTAGCATTCTTACTCTCCTGCACTAGTTTAATTATTTACTAAATTCCTAAGACTACCTGCTAAGTTACACACAAACCAAACACACACACTATCAACGGCTACAAAACTGCAAAACTGCTTTTAACAAACCAATTCACACACAACTCATAACTAAACTATAATTACACATTCTGCTAAATTTCATTTCTTTTCCAACATTTCCCCCCTTTTGAGCATCCTTCAGTCCTACTGCAAGGATGCTCAATCAACAGTATTGACAGTAACATCTTCATAACAAGGTGGGGAGTGTTCTTCATTCTGCCGCCCGCGGGTCATCGCCTTCAGCAACCGGAGAGATCGCTTCTTTTCCTTTTCGATCACTCCTAAGAGGCATCTATATACAATCCATATAGTCACTAAAAATGCTAAAAACATTAGTGCATACTGTATAGCAGATGTAATCCAGCCAGACAGGTGAAGCCCCAAAGAATCAAATACTGCTCCTATTCAGTTATGCTGTGCTTCCTTTTCAATTTCCTTGGTTTTTGTTTCCACTTCTGCCAGTTGAGAAATATCTTTCTCAACTTCAAGTGTAACAATTGGAATGTGTACACAGCAATGATCTATTCTCCTACTCAGGTAACCACAAACTCCATGTTCTCTTAACAGTAGCAAATCCAATGCCATTCTGTTTTGTAGGGTCATTCTTGATGTAGCTTGCAATTGCAAATTTAGATCTTTAAATCCCTTCTTAGTAGCTGCTGCCAACCTTTCTGTCTGTCCTAACAAGTTGTTGAGCATTTCCCTATTTCGATATGTCGCTACCGGAGGGAATAATGACTCTAATATCCATCCAAATTGTACTCCTGAGCCAGGTTCATGCCACTGCTCCTCTAGGGATTCTTCCCTCTTTCTGAGTCCTTTCCTTTGGATCAATCTATTCTGTTTCCAGTATGGACACAATGTGGGAACCCCTAGGGTGATTTGTGTTACTGATCCATCTAGAGGTAAATGTGTGGTCCACTGTCCATGTCCCAACACCCAGACTAGATTTCCAGGGCTATGCACAGTAGTATATCTGCAATCTATAGGTCCCTCCATGGACTCTTTGCTAACCGTATGATCATATCCCCTACACTCGCATCCCCACTTTAATGCCATTTTCACCGGTACCAATCCAATTCGGTCTTCCGGTGTATCACATGTAAAAACCTCAGTACAATTCCAATCCTCTTTCTGCGGTCTGAACTCTCGGGAAGATGTAGATGTGATGAGGGCCCTATAATGTGACTGATTCTTTACTCCTGACCATTGGATGCACCATTGTACTTCCCCAAGGTAATTATAGTGTTCCAAAACACTAGGTCCCCATAAGGTCTTCCAACTATTCCAGGTGTCAAAATTCTGTGTGACATTCTGACAACTCATCTCATTTCGGTGGGATTTCGTTCTTATTCGTACTGTATTGCATGGCTCATCTATTGGGGTTGCAATTAAACACCTCCTGGTATTTTGAATCCAACCATAATGATTGGGTTTCTTTTCACATTCCTCTCTAGTCATAACCCGAATGGTCATACACAAATCCCTCCATACATCCATTGGTTTGGGAACTGACTGGCAGGACCATGAAACATTCTTAAATGCTTCAGGCATTTTGGTTACCGGTATTATTCCCCAGGGAATTGGTTCACCTGCAGCCTGTGGTAATGGTAGGCAAGCTGTTATTTTAGACACGTTCTGCATGATCCCAAAATCTCTAATTAATCCTACCACTAAGTTTTCCTGCTCAGTATTCCGTTCTATTGTATCATTAGCCTCCCGTCTACTCCTTCTACCGTGTCTCTGTAAGGATAACATCATTCTGTCATGCCTCCACCATGCATTTCCTATTCTAGGATTAGTGACATTCAACCACCCACAACCTTTGCCTTCCTTCTCCCACCAACTGGTCCTGTCCTCTATTCTGTCCCAGGTCAGTTCCCTATTTTGCCTCCACCTTTTGACCCATAGGTTCCTTTGATATCTTGATCTTACTAGGAAGGAACAATTTATTCTAAGGGGTGGCCCATCCCACATGTCCGCTGCCATTGATACTGGATCAAACTTTATGTTTTCAGCACGATCCCCTGTCCATGGCAAAACCCTCATACTCACTCTTTTGTAATTAAACCTATCCCGTATCTTGACCAAACATGTATATTCTCCCGTATCGTTTGTGGTTACCTTAGTAAGATTCAGTACCGTGTTTCCTTGTTGTTTATCCTGATCCCAACCGACTCCGATCTTGCCTCGGCTTCTTTCAGCCCCCCGTTGCCATATTGCAATAACTTCACCGGCCTCAACTCTCTGGCTGGTGGGGTCCACTCCATGATTCCCGTAGCGGATCCGTGATCCACTTCTTGACGTACACCTGGTCCCCAGGCTGAATGTCGTGGACCGAATTCTCCAGCGTGAGCGGTCTATTCCACTGTAAAGTATTTCTTAAAGAATTCAAGATCTTATTAAGTGACATAACATACTCTGCAATTGCCTGGTCCCCACTCACATGTACCTCCCCTTTTAATACAGTTGCATGATATGGTTTGCCATATAGTATCTCATATGGACTTAAGCCTACCTTTTCCCTTGGCTTAATTCGAATCCTGAGTAGGGCCAAAGGCAAAGCTTGAGGCCAGTGCAGTTTAGCTTCCTGGCAAATCTTTTTGATTTGTCCTTTTAGGGTTTGATTCATCCTTTCCACCTGCCCACTAGACTGAGGTCTCCAGGGGGTATGCAAATTCCATGTTATATCTAACAGTCGTGCTAATTCCTGTACTACCCCGGCTATAAAATGCGGACCCCTATCTGATGACAATCCTAAAGGTACTCCAAATCTTGGTATTATTTCTTTTAACAAGGTTTTTACCACCTCCTTAGCCTGACTAGTTCTACATGGAAAGCTTCTGGCCACCCTGAAAACGTACATACATACACTAACAAGTATCTGTATCCCTGTGCCCTAGGCAATTCGGAAAAATCAACTTGCCAGTAATCTCCCGGTTGTGGCCCGACTTGCAGCTTTCCCATTTGTATTTGTCTCCTAACTACTGGATTATTTTTCAAACATACCGGGCACATTGCATTAACTCTTTTTGCCATTGTTAACATCTGATTAGAGATTATCTCATTTTTCAAAAATTTTACCAATACTTCTGCCCCCCAATGACATTTGTTATGTTCTGATTCCAAAATAAATTTCATTATGCGAGTAGGTACCACTATTTGTCCCATTGGTGTAACATACCACCCAAGTTGATTTCTCTGTGCCCCTAGCAAGTTTATTAGTTTTCCATCTTCTATTGAATATTTGGGCTCCTGATTCAGGTATGGGGTAGCCGGATTCGTTCTTACCGGTACCAATGCCATTTGAGTCCATATTTCCCGTGCCACTTGCCGTGCTGTAACATCAGCAAATCGGTTTCCTCTGTAAACGTCTCCTTCCGCAGTCTGATGTCCTCTAACATGCATAACTGCAACTGCTTTGGGACTATGTACTGCATCCAGTAGCTGTAGCACTTCTTCCCGGTGCTTGATGTTGGTTCCCTGTGAATTCAAAAGCCCCCTTTCCTTCCATAACGCCCCATGTACATGAACCACACCAAAGGCATATTTAGAATCCGTCCAGATATTAACCCTTTTGTCCTTGCTCAAATACAGGGCTCTGGTGAGTCCAATCACCTCTGCCTTCTGGGCCGAAGTTCCAGGTAACAAAGCCTTTGCCTCTATTACCTGATCCAATGTTACCACTGCATACCCGGCATAGCGAGTCCCATTCTCGACAAAACTGGATCCATCAGTGTATAGTTCCCATTCAGGGTCTTCCAATGGTTCATCCTTTAGGTCGGGTCTGCTGGCATATACTTGTTCAATTACCTCTACGCAATCGTGCACCAGTCCCCCAGCCTCCTGGTCACTGCGTAAAAACTCTGCTGGATTAACATGATTAGTAGTCCTTATTTCAATATCATCCTGTTCTCTCAGGGTAGGCTGGTATTGCAACATTCGACTGGATGATAGCCAGTGACCCTCCTTTTGCTCCAAAATGGCCATGACCATATGGGGAACAAAGACTTTCATTTTTGCCCCCAAAGTCAATTTCCAGGCCTCTTGAATAAGAATAATTGTTGCCGCCACGGCTCGTAAACACGAGGGCCACCCGGAACTTACCGAATCCAGTTGTTTAGAGAAGTATCCCACTGGCCTCTTCCAGGATCCCACCTTCTGGGTGAGGACCCCCAATGCCAGTTTTTGCCTCTCATTCACGTACAACTGGAATTCCTTGGTCAGGTCAGGGAGTCCTAGGGCTGGGGCCTCCTTTAGTGCCTGCTTCAATTCCTGGAAGGCCTTATTTTGCTGTGTTGTCCACTCCAGCCGATGCTGCTTCAAGGCCTCTGTTATGGTTTAGGCCCGGCAAAGCCAGGGCCCCCATAAATATACCTTTTACCTGATATCTGCTGTGAGATGTGGCCAGGAAATAAGCAAAGCAGTCTCCAACTTAAACATAAAGAGAAGTTTATTAACTAAACTACACACACAATTACTAAACTACACACACACAGGGGAAAAAAACAAGGAGAATGAGAACTACACAGAAACACTTCCTTATCCTCCTCCCACCAAATTCCCAAACACATTTACATTTCCCAAAAATTATCCACACTCGGTCTGGCACCACCCTTTGGAAAAAAATCAAATCTTCAGCTCATAAGGGATAGACGGAGTCCTTCCTTGTGCCACGGACTTCTTGTCACAATCAGCAATCCGCCCGGTATCTTGCTATCTCGTGACATCTCCTTTCCATGCCGAGGTGCTCTCACCACCTGGCATGGGATGGGGCAGGGGCCTGCCTTCAGGGCCTTTTAAGAATGCCTCGTCTCGTTCCAAGCAGAGTACAGTCACAATCCTGGGACCTCTGTCCCCCCCCCATGTCTTCTATACCCCCTGGGGCCGAGGGGTCTCAAAACCAAACTCTCTTGACGCCGAGCCTCCGCTTCCCCCTGCAATACAGCCTCTGCCTCACCAGGAAACAGTCCATGGAAATACAACAAAAAAGAGTCCAGCAAAAACTGCCACTCCATCTTCCTCCATTCCGTCAACATCTCTCTTCTCCCTTTGCCAGACCCTCCTTACTGGCCTGATTTTCTTCCTTCATCTTCCACTCCTGTCCCTTTCCCAGGAAAGGCAATGTTCTGCGAAGCCTTCATTCCCCAAAGGGTTAAAAGTTCTCCCAGGCGGCCGGACTGCCCGCTGCCCCCCCCCCCCCCCCTTTCTCCTCCCAGCCGTGCTGCCTGCCGGCACATGATATCAAGTTTCAAGATATACAGTTCGAGCACGGGCTGCATTCTCTGGGGGGGGAAATAAACTGGTCGCTCAAGGGTCTACCACCCTTCCTCCGAACCCGGGCCTACCGTAGATGGGCCACGTGGCTTTCCCCTCCCCCAGCCCAGCCAGAAACTGGGCCGGGGGAGAGACTTCTTCACGCCGGAAATCCCAAGAGGACTCCGAAGGCCAAGAGCCCTGCTTTTAACCCCTTGGGTTCGTAGTCTCAAGAGGCGGATCCAAATGTCCCACTGGTCAAACTAAGTGCCCATCTTAAATTCCAATTACCCATTGGTAACCACAGCAAAACAACATATCCCAGATGTCCCATTTCCGGTCAAACCACGACAGCCTCATACAGTGGCTTGGCTAGGAGACCGAAATTCATGATCCACAGTCGACACCATCCCACCATTCCTAGAAAAGATCTCAATTCCTGATGGTTACGAGGCAAAGGAATAGCACATATTGCCTCTATTCGGTTTACTCCCAAACGTCTCTGCCCTTGTGTGATCTCACAACCGAGATAAATAACGCTATTTTTGACCAGTTAAGCTTTTTCCTTAGAAACCCGATACCCTGCTTGGCCCAGCATGTTGAGTAATTTAATTGTTAATTCCACACACATTTCCCTTTCCTTAGTAGCCAGAAAGATGTCGTCCACGTACTGCAGGACTACGTACAAGGATGGGGATATTGTTACCTGGGTTATCTTCCATTCCTCCAGCTCCTTGGCCAGTTGGTTTCCAAAAATAGTAGGGCTGTTTTTAAATCCCTTTGGGAGTCTCGTCCACGTAAGCTGCTTCTTTCTCCCAGAATCAGGACTCTCCCACTCGAAGGCAAAATATTTCCTACACTCTACTGCCAGTGGGATGCAGAAGAAGGCATCTTTAAGGTCAATAACTGAGAACCATTTAAACTCCTCTGATACAGATGTTAACAAGGTATAAGGGTTAGCAACAACTGGATGTATGTCTTTCACTATTTCATTAATAGCCCTCAAGTCCTGTACCAAACGGTACTTACCATTAGGTTTCTTTACTGGAAAAATTGGAGTATTATACTCCGATTCACATTCCTGTAATATTCCTTGAGCCAAAAATTGTTTAATTAATGGGGCTACTCCCCTCCTTGCCTCAAGCTTCAAGGGGTATTGCTTTACCCTCACTGGTTGGGCCCCTTCCTTTAGTTCCACCTTTACTGGCTGCGCAGCTTTAGATTTTCCGGGAACCCCTGACTCCCATACCCAGGGTACTACAGCCTGCTCAATCTCTTCTGGAATAGGAGACGCATCCACTTCCTTGATCACAAAAATGCCTGCTATTTGTTCCTCAGGTATTTCCAATTTCACCCTTCCCCCTTCAAATATTATTTTCACATTAAGTCGGGACAACAGGTCTCTGCCAAGAAGGGGTGTGGGGCAGTTTGGCATATACAAGAATTGGTGATCTAATTCCTTTCCCCCAAACCTAAGATTTAAAGGTTGTAAAAATGGTTGTTCCTCTAGCTTCCCTGTTGCCCCCACCACCTGTACCATTGTGTCACTCAAAGGTCCCAATCGTCTATTAAGTACAGAATAGGTTGCTCCAGTGTCTACCATAAATTCTTGATCCTTTCCATCTATCTCTAAAACTACCCTCAAATCCCGGTCTAGTCAGCTTTGATTCTGATAGTTTCCCAAAACTAGTGCTTGAGCGACTTCTGCTGGTCCTCCCGTGAATCCTCCCACAGGAGCATTCCCCATTGGACCTGTCCTTAATCCTATGTTTCCCATGCCCATACCTCCTCTAACCGGGCATTCATTTTTCCAGTGTCCTAACTGTCGGCAAAACGCACACTGGTTTGGATCCAACGTCCCCGTGTTAGGTGCAAACCCAAATCCTCCCCGACCTCTTGCCAGCCCCCTTTGTCCGTGATTAGCTCCTCCCCGACCTCGACCCCTAATGGGTCTTCCTCCTACCCCTGTCGGTTGCATTACAGCCAGAATACTAGCTTGTTGTCTTTTTGCAGTTTCTTTTTACCTGTTGTTCTATACCTTCCACGCTACCTCCAACATTTTATACAAAATTCGAGTGTCCTCTCCTTCCAACTTTTGTAACTTTTTCCTAATATCCTCTTGTGATTGCCCCATAAACAACAATGCCAATTGAAGTTTTCCTGATTGATCCTCTACATCTAAATTAGTAAACTTCCGAGCCATGTCTTTTAATCGTTCTAAAAAGGCAGACGGAGACTCATTCTTGTCCTGCTTGACCGAATACAGCTTAGACCAGTTCATAGTCTTAGGTATTCCTGTCCTAATTCCTTCCACCAACAATTCCTGATATCGTTTTACAGCCCTTATTCCCCCCGTAGAATTTGGGTCCCACCTTGGTTCCTCACTAGGTACCAATTCATCAACTGTCTCATTTAGTTGTCTCAACCGTATCTCCTCACGAGCCTTTTCTCTAGTGGCTTTAATAACCATTTCCTTTTCTGTGGAATCCATTATAGTATCTAATAATACCTGTAAATCATTCCAGTCTGGATTCTGAGTCTTTATTACCATTTTAACCACCCTTGCCACCCTTTCAGGATCCTCCCGATAACTCCCCGCTGATTGCTTCCATATTACCAAATCCCCGGGGGAGAAAGGCACCTTTATAAGTATCCTTTCTCCCTGTGGTCCCACAGCTTCCCTTAACGGCGCAATTAACTGTGGCCCCTTCTGCCCCTTCCTCCCCTTGCGAGTCCGCCCTGCTAACGGAGTTCTTTTAACACTCTCATTCCTTTCACCATCACCACCATCACTATCACTCTCACTAGATCCCATTTTTATAGCTATATCCGCAGGGGGAGCAGGGGGCACATTAGGAGCAACCGGAGCCCTCGGAAGTGCTATACAGTAATACAAATCTTCCTCAACTAAAGGATACAAATTACGCTCCTTTCTTTCTTTACATCCCACACACTCCCTTTCATCAATCACTTCTAAAACCAAAATACGACACTCCTTTTGCCATTCGTCTTTCCGGTGTAAAACAAAGAACAAATCTAAATATGGTATTTCATCCCATTTCTCATTTCTCCTTAAAAATTGCATCAAAGATTCCATTATCTCCAATTCCAGTGTACCATTCACCGGCCATCCCGCTTGCCCAATCTCATATTCAGGCCAACAATGATTACAATAATCTATCATTTTACTTTTATCCAATTCTTGATAATACCCCTCACTTTTCCACCGTTTCAATATACAACCTAATGGTGTATTTCCAGGTATTTTACCATTGGCTTGCACTAAGGTTTTGATAGTTTTAAAAGACATCATATTACAGCCTTTAATTCCACCTTTAGTTCCAGTAAACCAATACACCTTAAACCAATATACCTTCTCGCCGTCCTTCCCAAACAAAAACAGGAGGCGAGTTCCGGTCCTGCGTCCTTAGACGTCTTATGGCCGGAGCCTAGGCTTTTTACCAACCACCAAATCCAAATCCAATTATCACCTTTTTCCAATATAAAGCACCTTCGGGCCTACCTTGGCAGTTGTCCAACAGGCGCGGGGTCGGGCACGACTGATGTCTCCCCGAGAAGTGCTCGGTGCCGGCTTGGAGTGGATCGGGACGCGGAACCGCCCCAGCTGCCTTTGGAGTCCTGCCGCGGTCGCCAGAAAAACTGTTGCCCGATTGATAAATGACACAAAACTCGGATAAGTTTTGTGGGTGCTTTATTATGGGCCCGGGGTGCTGGGGGACTCACGTCCCAAAAACCCAAGCCCTCCGATTTCACATATGGGTGCTTCCCTCTTATACATGCAATTCACAACAAAGTCTCCAAGAAACAGTTCCCTTGTGATACATTCCTTAGTTCACAGGCAAGATCATAAATCTTCTGCTTATCTTATTCTAAGAGCATTGTATGCTGCCTTCAGACAGGTTAGCATTCTTACTCTCCTGCACTAGTTTTATTATTTACTAAATTCCTAAGACTACCTGCTAAGTTACACACAAACCAAACACACACACTATCAACGGCTGCAAAACTGCAAAACTGCTTTTAACAAACCAATTCACACACAACTCATAACTAAACTATAATTACACATTTTGCTAAATTTCATTTCTTTTCCAACAATCCCACTGTCTATGCCATTGATGAAGATAATGAACACTACTGGTCCCAGCACCCTTGAGGGACATCACTCATTACTGGTTTCTACTTGGACATTGAGCTGTTGACTTTGAATGCATCCATTAGCCAATTCCTTATCCAACAGTCCATCTATCAAACCCACATCTCTCCAATTTAGAGGCAAGAATAAGTCCACAATAGCTAACATCAGTTGCTCTTCCCTTGTCCACTGATGTAGTCACCCCATCGTAGAAGGCCACTAGATTAGTCAGGCATGACTTGCCTTTGCTGAAGTCATGTTGGCAATCTCTAATCACTTCTCTGTCTTCCATATGTTTTGATGTGTCTTCCAGGAGGATCTGTTCCATGATCTAACTAGGCACAGAGATGAGGCTGACTGTTCAGACTAGTTCTTTTTAGCCTTTTAAAAAATGAATGTGACACGTTCCTTTTTCCAGTCACTGGGGAGTTTGCCTGACTGCCATGACTTTTAGAATACGTTGGAGAATGGCTTAGCAACTACATCAGCCAATTCCCTGAGGACCCTGGGATGCATCTTGTTGGATCCCATGGACTTGTGTATGTTCACGTTCCTCCGTTGGTCTCAAATCAGATCTACTATGACAAGAGTGACTTCATTCTCCCAGTCCCTGCCCTGAGGTTTGGTGACTCTAGAGATATGGGAAGAGAGATTACCATTGAAAACTGGGGCAAAAAAAAAATTGGTAACAATCTCAGCCCTCTCCATGAAGAGTGTCACCAGTTTTCCTGTCTTATTTATCCAGGAGAGGCGGGGTGGGGGGGAAATTTTCTTTGGTCTTCCTTTTCTGGCAAACGTACCTGCATGTTGATCCTCCATGATGCTTGTGGGTCCTTTCCAACTCAGGATATTCTATGATTCTATGAAAGGAGCAAGTGGGGGTCCTAGTATCATTCATTGAGGGGCCACAGATTTTTGGATCTAGGAAGGGTTCTGCAGACTTTAAACCCGGAGTGCCAGCTACTGGGGTGACTAGTGTGAGTGAATTTGGTGATAGCTACTGAAATCAGACTGGGAGTGTAAGCACCCCTGGCCTGTGGTGACAGCTACTGAAGCAAGTGGTGTCTAACCTCCAGCCACTGGGGTAGGAACAGTGTGCATTCTGAAAACCTGCTACTTGAGGGACTGGCATGACTTGGTGTGTGCACACACACATGTATGTGATCTGAAAAGACCAGGGACTAGCTACTGGGAGGACCAGAGTAAATGGATTTGGTGTTATCTACTGGAGTCAAACCAGGGGTGTTGGAGACCCTGGCCTATGGTGTTAGCTACTGGAGCAAGTGGTGGGGTTCTGAGTGCCAGCTACCGATGCGATCTGTGTGTGTGCAAGTAAAATTTGTTGTCTGCTACTAGAGTCAGACTAGGGGTATAGGTGCTGCACAGCCAGTAGTGTCAACTACTGGAGTGGGGAGGGGGGATCAGCATCAGCTACTGGAATGAGTGGGGATCTTTTATCTTCAGCCACTGGGTGGGGAACAACATGTGTCCTGAAAGCCAGATATTGGGGGGAATCAGCATCAGTGAGGCGAGTGAGAGGCTCAATGCCAATGACTGGAGCAGCACTGCAGGTCACAGCATGCATACCTAGATCTGGCTGCTGAGGGGCAGGGGGAAGTTGGGTGTCTGTATTTTCCCCAAACCAGCTGTGTGGGTATGCATGTGCAAGCATCTTTGCTAGCAAACTTCAAGCTGTACTTGCCAGCAAGTAGCAGAAGGGTCTTGGGGCTGGGCTGGGGCATAAGGCAGGCAAGGGTTAAGGCTGGTATACCCATGGGGACTTGTGAATGTAGAGTGCCTGGGGGATGAGCTTGTGAGTGCATTCATGTTTGCTATCCAGCATCAAGCTCAATTAGCCCTGAGTAGGAACCCATGAAGCAAGTAAAACGGTCTGGGACTGGGGCAGGGCTACCAGGTAGACAGAAGGTCCATGACAGTACTTGAGGGATCCTCAAAAGTGTGTGTGCACTTTCATTAGTGACTTTGTATCTCTACCAACCAGAGAAGAAAGGGGGCTTGGCTGTTGTCCTGGGGTGACATTATGATGCTTGTATCCCCATTTGTGTGCTCTGTTTATGCTGGATATTATGTTCTGTGCCTTCAAGACTGGCTCTGAAGAGTGAAAGTTTTGTTTTGGTTTCTTATCAGCTGCTCCCCCATGGCTGGCGGGACACACAGACAGGACAGTACATGGTGCAGCTTTTGCTTTTTGCTTGGCTTTTCGCTTTGCTCTTGCCTCTGCTTTGCTCCTGCTTTGCTCTCGCTTTTTGCTTCTGCTCATTAGTTAGTAGCTAAGCAGTCCAAATTTTTTCCTGGACTGTTTCACCTTTCCCTTTTTTTTGGCCTACTCGAACCTGCTCCAGACCGGGACCTAGGAAACACCGAGAGTTTGCACCTTGTGGCTGCAGCAGCTACCCCAGCACCAGAGGGACTGAGAACAGAGTGACCACCCCCAAGAGACACTTTCTGAATTTGTCATC